AAGTGGCCCTCCGCCTTCTGGGACGATTGGATGCGTCAACCGGAGCAGCGCAAGGACCGCTCCTGCATCCGGCCGGAAATCTCCCGGACTATTACCTTTGGCCGAAAAGGTGTCAGTTTAGGTCAATTCTTTGACCAGTACCTTCGCTATATTAAGCTAAACACTGATTTTGTGCCTTTTACCAAACAGGATTTGTCTTTTTTGCTAAAAGAGAAGTATGATGAAAAGTTTATCAAGGAGGTTTACAGTGCCCCACTGGTGAAGATTGAGGACCTACAGCAAGGGGGCAGCTTAAGAGGCCCTGGACCGTACAGGGTTCAGTACTCCAGCCGGGACAGTTTTAAAGTCTTTGCTCGAAATCTTGGGGTGATGGACGACCTGAAATCTGGAGTTCCTCGTACAGGTTACAGGGGCATAGTCAGTTTCCTGTACCGGGGTCGAAGACTGTTCTTGGCTCCACCAGAGGGCTGGACGCAGTATGACACCAGCTGGAGCTGAGAGACTGATCTAGACTGGACAGTGTGAATGGTGTTGAAGAGGGGAGAGAGCCTTACTTAGAGGAACACCCTCTAAGACCAAAGAATATCAGCAGACACAGTGATTCATGAAGGAATGAAAGCAGCACAGATGGGGCTGCAAGCCTGTTTGTTAGGGGAAAATAGGGTGCTGATTGGATCAGCAAGTTCAACGACCACACAGACTTTACAGAGAGTTCTGAAAGGAAAATTCCACCCTCAAACACTGTTTCAAAGCAGCTAGTGGCAACGTGCCTTGCTTTCTGGTCCCATTTTGTTTGGTGTATTTTTTTATTCCTGTGAATAACTGGCCAAACGTAGACTTAACATCACATTAAGATGTTTGCAGCCGATGTAAATGGAGTTTGGGAGCAGAAAAAAATGTGAATTGTCAACAGCAAGAGCATGTTTCAGTGTTTGTGATAATACACTGGAAGCCAAACACAAGCACTGTGATCTTCTCTAGAGCTTGGGAGAAAAAACAGTGTTATTTATAAAATCTTGGGCCATGTTTTTTTTTTTTTCTCATTTAGCAAAGTTTTTGAAAGAAGCTGCTGAAATTGATCCAGCTCTGCAGATCATGTTGCTTTTTGTTTATAAAACTAACCAGAAGCAGAGCTGTATGCAAAGACATTCTACAGTGTTTTAGGTGGTAAACAAAGTCATTATATGAAGCCCTGATGGTTGACATTAAAGATGAAAGGCCTCTTCAGCAATGATACAGAGAGAAGGATTTGCAGAGGAAGCAGAGATACCTCACAAACTACAGTAGCCCTGATCCAGGACCAACAAAGTATGTATCAGTCCTGCTTTGCTATCTCCTGGAACATTTCATTTTCAGCATCTCATAAAATTTGTAACAGGATGAAAGTCGAAAATAATTAACCAGATCGTGAGAGACTTATTAGGTGGGGACCGATGATGTTAGGCGGGTTCAATAACCAAAAACACAATTTGACCAAGAATGGTCTCATCTATTGAAGTCAGAACAAACCATGTAGAATTTCCTTGTCTCTCACTGACGGAACAATTTTATGTTAATGTAAAATACCTTCCATCTACCAGTGATAGCACTGAGAATACTGCTGCTGATTAGTACTCCAATTGATGAGCAAGAAAACCCATCTTTGACTTTACATAGTTAGTATTGACTGTAACGGAAGAGACCTTTCTTGGTTGAAGCATATCATGTTTTTTCTTACTTTACAAACGCTTGTTGTTGCTCAAGATTAGTTTGAAGTTGCCAGAAAAGAACACCAAGAACTTAATAAGTGTAACAGTGTGGGAGGAGCAAGGGTGGAGTTTTTCTTTAATAATCAGGGTCGCTGTTCTTAGATCAGTTTATAAACATGGCCTTGAAAGCATTGCGACGCACAACACTAAATCGAAGCAGAGAGAGGATATCAGTGATAAGGCCTCTGTGTGCTTTGTATTAAGTAGGTCAGACCACATTTAAAGGCAATGGTTTAAAAGGACCAGCGTGTTGGATTTAGTGGCATCTGGTGTTGAAGTTGCAGATTGCAAACATCTTAATACTGCTCAACCTTCCAAGCAAGTAGGAGAAACTACAGTGGCTGTGAAAAATATGAAAATCCCTATCTAGAGCCAGTGTTTGTGACGGACTGTGTAGAAGAGGACCCGCTTCCTCTGTAGATAAAAACAGTTTATTCAAAGGTAAGGGAAACACAGCAACACTGATATTCAGGTAATTATACACTAATGAAAACATACTTATGAATATTAAATTTCATTTCTGACAATAGATCCTCCTACATGTTACATACTCAACCTATTCCAAAGGGAGTACACTCAAGGACACGTGAAAAAACTGCCTTGTCTTTGTAGTCTCAACAAAATTGACCTTTCCTAAGTCCGGCCCATCTTTGTTCTGTGCTCCAATAACAGTTGAGCAAAGCTCGGGAAGCATGGTCATCTTTCACCCTTTCCTGTAGCACATAGCATATCTATGTTGAAAAGAACCACATTTTGAGGATGGCATAAAGATATAAGCGACATATTGTCACATCTAAAGTTAGCAAATTTTAGCAAAACACTAGCTAATCTACATTAGTCGTTACCTAGCTAGTTACATCTGATAGCTAATGTTTACCATCTTAAAAACATTTGTGGTGTTGCACTTGGTGGCACAAGTTGTTCGAATGTAAAGAATGAAAAAAGAGCTTGAGAAGTTCAAACCCCACTGACTTTCACTCCATGCACCTGCCAGATCACTATGTAAAGCGGTGTGATTGACTGTTTTACTAAACTGTCAGACGCAGCTCCTTCAATTCCTCTTTGGAAAAGGTTTTCAGACAACACCTTGTTTAAAGCATACTGAGGCCTTTATTGTTGATTTCCTGCTCATGCTGGTCTCACAAGGCCTTTAATTTTTTTTTTTTTTTTTTGAATGTTTGTGTAGCTGAGTTCAAACTCCATCAATGAGATGGTTAAGGAGAATTGCTTTAATGAAGGATATTATTAATTCTGCAACTCCCTTCTGCTTTCAGAGGGCTACATAATCTGGATTTCCACCTCTCTCATGTGAGTGAACTTGGTATCTAAATGTGTAGAAGGTAATTGTTAATATGAAGGATTGAACTACAATGATAAGGCTATTTTTGAAAGTATGTAAATGTCTTCAACTTGAAATTCTAACAAGATGTCCAAGCTGCAAATGAGATTGAAACATGACGAGCCTGACATTTTACTGTCGATCATCCTGAAGCCCCGATATGGTCGAGTTGTAATTATATGACATCCAAACCATGGTTTGGTCAGCTTAGGTTTGTTGAAAAACCACAGATAGCTTGATTTGTTTCTGCAACAAGAAGGCTGGGAAGTGGATAAATGATTATCACTGTACTGTAATTAGCATTGGGAGATTATCCACAAGATTGATTGATTCCCATGTCTGTATGGTGATGTGAACAACCACTGCCTGAGTGTTTATAACTTTAATACAGTATGAATAAAATAAAACTATTTTGATATTGTCAATATGCTTAAGTCACTCTTTCATTGACAGCAGTCATCCAGCTATGTTGAACATTGTCTCGTGTCATATTCATCCATTGTGAAGAAGACTTTATTGATCCCCTTGGGGAAATTGTTTTTTTCACTCTTTTTTTTTATACACAGAGGCTGAAATACACACTTGCCTTGCTCAAAGGCACCTCAGCACAGGAGGTGAAACTGGCACCTCTCCAGCTACAAGTCCACACTCCATATTTTGTGGTCTGTGGGACTTGAACCGGCAACCCTCCAGTTCCCAAGCCAAGTCCCTACACACTGAGCTATTGCCGCCCCAACAGTGGATCATTAAGACATCTGGCTTGGTTAAAGCTGCAGTAGGTAATTCTGATTAAAATAACTTTGTTACATTTTCTGAAACTATAACACTATATCCTGACAGTACATGAGACAGATAATGTAAAAAAAAAAAAAAAAAAAAGGCTCCTCCTAGTGCTCCTAATGTCATTTGCAAGAATCCACCAGGCCTAAACAAAAACAACCAATCAGAGCAGAGAAAGATCACTAGAGGAGCACTAGAATCAGCCAGAGGAACCTCATTTGTGTCAGAATTTAGTGAAAGTTTCAGTAAATATGACATTTTAAGCATTTTTTTTTTATAAAGGTTACCTACTGGAGCTTTAAGTTGTGCCCTGCAAGACTCATTCACCCTCATAACATTCTTATAATGTGGGAAACACCTCAATATTTTTTCACAGTTAGTCACTAGTTAACATGGTGACTCATTCAATTTCTAATCTATACTTCTTAAACTTTTTATGAGTTAGTTGGAATGAATGAAAAATGTGCATGGTTTAAATTCATTTGAACCCAATCCATATGAACCCAACATGTTTTCCTACTCAACTGTGTTGCACGATTGATGTTTCATATTAGGAGAGCCCATTCCTAGGCTTTTTCCACTCCTACCTTTCCCCGGTAAACCAAAGTGGTCATGTCATATGCTACAGGTCGTTGTGCGTTGTGCAGTGCCCTCTGTTGATGATGCATCTGCTTACTATGGTTCCACTCAAAACTGGTGGAAACATGGGATGGTTTGCAAGATAGCACCATGGTTCAACAGAACTGGTTCATGATCCAGAGCTAATTTGGTGTAAAAACGCTGAGTGACAAGCTCACAGGTTAGCCTAGCTCCAGACATTAGTCTGATTGTCAGACCTTTTTGTCCATTTTTGGATTAGCTGGGAGCTGGCGGCGTCGGGACTACCAAGATGGAGCCAACCACACTGAGCTTCACAATGGCTCTCCACAAACCTATGGGGGACATCTTGAACTCACCAGCTTTACCTCTCTTCTGCAGGATAAAGCTAGGGGTACTGTCACTAGAGCATCAAATGTGTAATAATCCACTGCTGAAAATAGTCCCCAATAAATGCATTATTTCCTGTTGTTTGAGTAGCATCTCATGAAAGCTATAGTTTCCAGGAAAAAAAACAAAAACTATACGTCTGTGAGGGATTTTAAAATATTTATGTCTTGAAATCAGTGATAGAAACCAATGGGTTTGAGGATGAGAGCCACAGACAAACAACACATTGCTGTGGTATCAGAAGAAAAATATAGAATTCATGGGTGGATGAAGAATGGGAGAGACTTTACCAGGCAAAAAGCAGATTTATCAACTCACACAGCAGTTAACAGCATTCAGTCATGTCTCTGCTATCAGTCCTAGAACTGCAGGTCAACTTATCACATTTAAAAAACTAGCAGTCCTTCACAAAACAACTCAATATCAAAATGAAATATCCACAAACAAACACTGAGATTAGAAACTAAAATAAAACAGATTATTAAACAAAGTCCGTCCTGATTTCTACCTGCAGAGGGAGCTGCACCACCACTGTATTGCATTTATTCTTTCAAAAAGCAAATGTCACAGGGTTAGGAAAATTTCTGCTGTCTGACATGCTGAGGTTTATATAAAGATAGTCTGCATCTACCATCAGAGTGAAACTGCAAATCGTCACCCTGTTAAAATAATCGCCTAACTAATTTTTTCAAGTTTTTCAGGAAACACAAAAAACTTCACCAAAAGTGTAGCACACTTGACATAGGCCATTATCTTAAAGGGGTAAAAATCACATGATCTGATCAACTAAGGATGTAGGCAATTTTACCATAGGTGGCCGGCGTCATGAGGAGATGATTTAGGCAAAAAAAAAAAACAATTTTGACAAAAAATGACTTGGGCGATTATTTTAACAGTGTGACGAAATACAAAGTGTCTGTAAGCCCCAGGGGAGCATCCAGCTCATCTATTGTGCTGGTTCAACTGCAGGGACACGGACACACAAAGACACAGGAAACGTTAGTGGCAGGGAACTTTGAATGAAGTTTGAATAAATCCAAAGAATGAATGAGAACTTACTGTAAGAGGAGATGTCGATTTCGTCAGACAGCTCACTGATGTTCACCTTGAAGCGGTCCTGGACGTCATTGCTTTCGTCAGACACAAACGTGATAGCCAGTCACTTTGTGCCAAACCTGCCTGCCCAGGCAACCTGCAACAACATACACCTTATTTGTACTTGCTGCTACCAGTGCAGCTGTCCTCATTATTCAGTCTGGGTAAAGCAATGTGATACATTGCATTTACATTCAGCTTATTGTCTCCTGATAACAGACTCCTTGGTCAGCTTTGTGTTTTTTGTCTTTTTTGTTTAAGGGCCAGTCTGTTGATATTGCACATTTTTATCAATCTCAACAAATCTCATGTGAGACCTGATTTTTCTATCACCCTCTCACTTCTTAATAAGGTGGGGTATGATCTGCGATAACCCAGGCACTCAGGAAGAGGGGTCACACTGATTTTAAAAACAAGGTATAAATGAAAAGTGGGTTGTAGTGTAGGCTCTCTCGATGTCCAACCCTCTTCATTCAAGGTCTACCAAAGGTTGTGTCAAATGAAAATGACATAATACAAATATGCTATTTGCTACTGATGAGTTGGGGCAAAATAAAATCAATAGAGCAAAATTTCTATTTCTGGGAAAATCAGTAATTTTTGGGTCTGCCTTCATGTTGTAATGGCAACACGTTCTCATTCCCAACATGTCAAAAACTGCAGTGACGCTGTAGGTACACTTCAGGCGTCACTTTTTGACGCGCAGGGATGTTTGATTGATATGAGACCGTGGCACTGTCAAGTTAGCAACAACACATTTACCCACGTCCGGGTGGACTGAATTAGGAAAATAAATAAGCAACGTCCGGTTACACTTTCAAAATAAAGCCAGAAGAGAAACGTGTCTAAAGACGCTAGTGGTTTCTTCCTATTTCATAAATACAAATTAGCTATTAGCTGCACTGTCAAATTAGCAACAACACATGTAGCACCTCCAGTGACAGGCATGAGGCAAGAGGTCTTGATTAAAATACAGGCCTTTATTACTGGTCAACCCGTGAGAACTGGTTAAAGAAAGAAAAAATAAATTAACAAAAATAATGCTGTATGCCTGTCTCATACAACTTGTGCTATAACCAAGCATATATACAGCTCGACACTTTACAGTTTGATTGAATAAACCAAAAATGACACATATAAACACAATAATCAATTACACCTTCACGGCAGATAAACAGCCAACAAACCCCATTGCTGCTTATCACGAAGAGTACATAAGTATGACAACAACAGTTACAGTTCAGGTTTTAGCAGGAAGTCTCTGAATCCAGAGGAGTGGATGGACACATAGGAGCCCTTCACTCCCTCCTTCCTCTTGGACATGTCACTTGCACCTTCGACCCCCACAGCCTCCTGCTATATAAACAAAATGGAACTGAATTAATTGATTTCTCATTCAGAGACACAATGAAAAAAAACAGAAAACCAATGCCCTGCTCCTTAGAGCTGCTGCAAAAATCCTCTCCTCTGGCTCCTCCTAGTGCTCCTAATGGTATTTGCAAGAATCCACAGGAGCACTAGGAGGAACCAGAGGAACCTGATTTTTTAACAGATCATCTGTCTCATGTACTAGTGCAGTGTTGAATCTGGTGCAATTTGGTCAGACAATGGTGCTATAACAACACATATTTACATTTTGGCCAGTAACCTTTGAACCGTATGTCTCAGGAAAACAAAATTCAGCAACTTATGAAGGTCAGATCTATGCATTATAAGCACATTCCTTACAATGCATTTATAAGGCTTTATAAAACTGTGAATACATGTTAATATGAAAATATTTTTATTTTAAATAAGAATTTCATGAAAATAATTCTTAGCAGCAGCTTTAGTTCACTGCCCAACAAAGACTGTTTTTTTTAATCAAAATGTATTGATTGTATTAAGATTGATTTGGTATCTTCATTTCCAAATAATGCATTTAGTATCCTCATTTATCTTGGAATGTCTGTGGATACAGTTAATCATGGTTGGCCCTTCATTTTTCCCAGTGAATAGCAATACAATTTTATTTTTTTGTAATTGACAAATATCCAAATTGCAAAAACTGCAATTTTTTGATAAAGGTACAATGTGTGACAAAACATGTTTGTTTGGTACAGACCCCAACAAATGTCACATCATGATTTTAAGTTTTTTTCTGAAAATTAAATCTGTGATGCAAATATGATAATTCCCACTAATCGTGAATCATATTGAAAAATCTGTCAAAATAATGGCAATATGATTTTTTTTACATTAACATACAGCCCCAATGTTAAGTATGGGGAATTATTGTAAAATGATGTGCTTTTATTTTATAGGAATAGGCCAGAAGCCTTGTATTATCATCTTTGAGGGTCAGTTGTAAAGTCAGCAAGCAAGACAGAGGGAATTTAGTGGTTGTGTGGTTCTCTACAGGGGCGGATCTGAAGGGACACCATAGGGTGGCAGCTGCCTCCTCTAAAAAATGCCTGGCCACCCCGCATTTTAAAAATAAAGTGTTGAAAAAAAAGGACATTTAATGATCGGCTATGGCCACATTTTAGACCAAGTTCAATGAAGAAATGTCAATTTGGAAATAAAACAATATATTTATTTCTAATGCCTATTTGGTGATTAACTAATGTGCCACAATAGTGTTTCCAATCAAATATTGATTTCTGTGATTGTGTTTAAATCAGCATATATTTCTGCCACCCTCTGGACTATTTCTCTAGATACACCCCTGGTTCTAATTCTAATGAACAGAAAATGTATATGTAATATATATATATTATTGTTTTGGCATCTTGACAAAAAAAATCTCTTCTTTTTTTAATTTAGCCTTACTGTAAATAACAAACTATATTAAATCAAAGGAAGTTGATAGAGTAATTCAAGGCAGTGTGTGATATCTGGTTAGCTTCTGTGAATGGAGGGACGTTAATGGACAATGTAGATAAGTTACTGTAATAAACCAAACCTAAGTATTTTAATAGCTAGCTGCAGTTAGCTCGACGGCTAACAAGCGCCTGCTAAACTAGTTCAAGGTTCAAATAAGAACGTTAAAAAATGAACAGATATACTACTGCGTGTAGTGTTAATGCTTTAATTTTAAAATGACTTTTAGCAATCAACATACCTTACCTACGAGAGATTAAACGTCTGCTCAAGTATAACGTCATGGATGTAGGAAGGGTACCTAAATGACGTCTCAACATGCGACGGTGAGCAGTTGAAGGACCTCTCGGTGTAACCATGCAGACGCCAAACTTCCAGTGACATCAGAGACAGCGACGGTTGCTCTTTTCAGTGAAAGTTTCGTATTATTTGTGTGTAGTAACATCATTTACACACTAAACAGGTAAGTCACTACTTATGGTCTCAATACAGTTGAATGTAACGTTAGCTGACGTTAACTGTTTCCAATACAAGTGGGGTGATCCCTTAAACGTTGTACAATGTTTGTGCTTGAAACTCTTATGGACATGCGATCTAGTGTTAATACGGTCTAACTCTATTTGGAAGGTATTTAGTCTTAAAACTTACTAACACTAGAAAACAGCTTAAAGTTTTAATTATGGCTAATATGTAAAATATGCAAACTTACATTTACTTACATTGTAAAAAACTTTGTGTATATTGTACTTAACAGTAATTATGTCATTAAGTATTTCCATAAGTCTGTCTTCCCCTTATAAAAATAATTTCTGGTCACATTTTCTGAAACTTTCACTATATCCTGACAGTAGTTCATGAGACAGATAATCCACCAGGCCTAAAAAAAAACCTCCAAGAAATATATAAAGATGATTCTTTCAAAATTATTGTTATAAAAATTGCATACTGCAGCTTTAAATACTGTACTGATGTTTTTTTCTTTGAACAGAGATGTCATGTTTTGGTGGTAATCCCAATTTCTGCCCAGAATGTGGAAATATTCTTCCTCTCCCAGGAATACAGAACACAGTGTGCTGCCCCCGCTGCTCCTTCTGCATCCCTGTAGCAGGTACCAACTCTGTCATGTCCTCTCCAAACGCCCACTCACAGTCCATGAGTGTGAATGTGAAGAAAAGATCATTCTATTCTATTATGTATACCTTGCACAAGGTGTACATTAGTACAGTACACTGATTTTCAGTCTGACCATTTTGGAATGGACCTCTAAGGGAACATGTTCTTCTTTATCTTTCAAATGTCTCAAGAAACAGAATTGATATGCCTCTTACAGCCCTTCACACCAATCTGTATCAGGACACGTCATCTAGGGAAGAGAACAGAGAATCGGTTCCAGTTTAGTACCCGTTCCAAATTGTCTGATCCATCGGAATTGGAAGCTTCCGAGCATATCAATTCCTTTTATCAATGCCGGCATGTATTCCTGCAAAACAATGACGTCAAGAAGGAGTGATGGCAGAGGGGAAAAAACGGTCCAATGCATGGCTTCATTTCACGTAGAAAAGTGACAACAGTGTTAGTTGGGCGGCTGTGGCTCAGAGGTAGAGGTGGTCGTCTACTGATCGGAACGTTGTTGGGTTGATACCCGGCTCCTCTGGCTGCATGTCGAAGTATTCTTAAGCAAGATACTGAACCCCGAATTGCTTCCTTTGTGAATGTGAATGAGTGAGTTAGTTTCTGTTCGATGAGCTTTGCCATCACTCTGAATGTGTGTGAAAGGGCAAATGTGGCATGTGGTGACTAGAAAAACATGTACAGTCCATTTACTATTTAGTTGTGAATAAAGTAAGGGTGGAAACACCAGCAGTTCAGTTCAGTAATTTTATTATCCAGGATAGGAATCTTGTCTTGCAGTCAGGGGCATAAAAACATAAAAAAACAACAGAAGTACAGACAAAAAGTAAATTATTCCATTTAACAAAATGCTAAATTTACCTGTGCAAGATGCTAAAATTAAAATTACATGTGCAATTTAAGCAGGGTTATTGCATTAGGAACAAAGGCGTTTTTACTCCTTTTGCACTTCAACCGTGGTATTCTAAATCTTGCAGTAGTTTGCTGAAACAACTTTTTACAGTGTATTTTACACTCTATGAATGAGTGTCATTGCTTCCCAGCCGAGCAGCATGTCTGTTACCTAAGGTGAATGTCTTATGTTATAATAATATTAGTGCGACTTAGCTGATTTTTTCTTTGATTAAGGAAATGTAAATGAAAGGGTTAAACGGTGGAGCTTTTGCAGACCGGAGTCACAGTCATGCCTTTTCCTCTGTTTCTACACTGTGTACAGGTTTAGATATAAAAAAAACAGTTGCGTTGATGCTGACAGCCTGTGTAGGTTTAATGTTTTCCACGTTATGCTGATAATATACAATCCGATCTTGCCTTTGCTTTCACACCTGGTATTTTTAATGCACTCTTGTTATCCATATTGAGGTCAGATCTCTGTCTTCCAGAACAAAACCTGCAAGAGTAATTTTGCCGCCACTCAAATTATAATTTATTTATTGTCCAGAGTTCTCCGGCCAAGAGATCCACTCTACAGTCATCTTCAACCCTGTGGAGCAGTTGTCCGTGGCTCTAGAAGACGAAGAGGACTCTGAACTGAAGGGACCTGTGGTAAGAACAGACTGCTACTCACTGACTGCTGCGTGTGATGATAACAATCGCACACTGAATAATGAGGCTCCCTGTTCCCAATAGATTGACAGACGCTGCTCTCGTTGTAATAAAGAGGGGATGGTTTACCACACCAGGCAGATGAGATCTGCAGATGAAGGACAGACTGTTTTCTTCACCTGTACACACTGCAGGTAATCAACATTGTATGTTGTGGAACTGCATTCATTTCGTGCAGTGTGATCTTTAGCTGACCTCTTTGATTTTGGTGTTCCAGGTATCAAGAGAAGGAGGACTCCTGAGAAGACATCCAACTCATCGTCTTCATTCCTCTCCATGTGTGTGATCTTGTGTGTGCCAGTGCTGGTTGCAGATCGTTGAATTGTTAACATTCACACTCTTCACTTCAAAATAAACTTCCTAGATTTTTATCCAGATATTTCATTTGTGTCTTGTAATAATAATAATACATTTTATTTCTCTGGGCACTCGAGGACACCGTACAACGCATAAAAAATTAAAACAGTAAGAAATAAGAAACAAATAAGAAAAGACAATGTAGATAGTTAAGTGGGGTATGCAGTTCTGAATAGGTGAGTTTTTAGTCTTGATTTGAAGAGGGGGAGAGAGTCCAGGTTCTTGATGTCCGGTGGGAGTGAGTTCCAGAGTCGGGGGGCGGAGCGGCTGAAAGCCCTGCTCCCCATGGTGACGAGGCAGGCATGAGGGACAGAGAGGTGGACAGAGGAGGCAGATCTGAGGGAACGGGAAGGGGTGGCGATGTGGAGGAGTTCGGACAGATAAGGAGGGGGAAGGATGTGGATGGCCTTGAACGTAAACAGGAGGGTTTTAAAGTTTATGCGGAGTTTGACCGGGAGCCAGTGGAGTTGCTGCAGAACAGGGGTGATGTGGTGGATGGAGGGGGTTCTGGTGATGATTCGAGTTCTGAACCAGTTGAAGTTTATGGAGGTCTTTAAGATCTTCTACTGATGATACAGTTGAAAGCTGAAGAAAGCTTGTTTGAGGATTTTTTTCAAGTCAAAAATGAACTTTAATGCTGAACAAATGTATTTTTATTTATAATGTGACAGTTATACAACTGAAATTGTTAAATAAAACAAAATATAATAACAAAATGTAATTGCTGCATAATTATTTTTTTGGAGGGAGGGGGGCTGTAAACACACTATCAACTTAGATAGTTGTTATGGTGAATGTGTTAGCAAACAATTTACTATTCACACATCCAACAGAAACAGAGTGACATACACTACAAAAACAGCCCTTCTACAAACAAGCCAAATATTCTTAAATAGTATCAAATTTTCTTGTAATGACCAAAAATCATTGCCAGTCGTGTAACTTTGCTTGGTTAGAATTCTTAAAACTAACAATAATCCAGCCACTGAAAGATTGTAATGGGCTTTAAAATTAGAAAAATAAATTCCTTCTCTTATTTATGAAGGAGCAAGCGTTCAGGCGTGGGGACAGGGACAAGTTTAAGGAGTCAAAGTACAAGCTTAGCAAGGCGGTGGGAGAAGCTAAATGACAGTACTAACAGTAGAAACTTCAACATCAGTTCTCAGCCAATGACTCTGGTTCTGTCTGGAAGGGGCTCAGACAGATAACAAACTACAAACTTAAAACCCCCCACTCCATCAACGACTTGCGCCTGGCAAATGAGCTGAATGAGTTCTATTGTCGCTTCGACAGACAAAGGAGCAGTCCTGACACCATCCCCTGTGACACCCCTCACCAGTTCCCCCTCCCCCAGTTCAGCAGGAGCCGGGGCCACTTCACAACTCCACACCTCCGTGAATCCCTCCTCCTCCACCACAGAGACGACTCTCTGCCTCCAAGAGAGGGACTTCAACAGACTCTTTAAGAGGCAGTACCCCCGCAAAGCGGCCGGACCAGAGTCTGTCTCTCCATCCACCCTGAAGCACTGTGCTGACCAGCTGTCTCCGGTGTTCACTGACATCTTCAACACCTCACTGGAGACATGTCATGTGCCAGCCTGCTTCAAGTCATCCACCATCATCCCTGTCCCCAAAAAAGCAAGGACCACAGGACTCAATGACTACAGACCTGTTGCCCTCACCTCTGTGGTCATGAAGTCCTTTGAGCGCCTTGTTCTCTCCCACCCCAAAGCCATTACAGACCCACTGCTGGATCCCCTGCAGTTCGCTTACAGAGCCAACAGGTCTGTATACGATGCAGTACACATGGCCCTACTCTTCACCCTCCAGCATCTGCTCTGCTTTCAACATCATCATCCCAGCTCTGTTACAAGACAAGCTCTCCCAGCTCACTGTGCCTGACTCCACCTGCAGGTGGATCACAGACTTCCTGTCTGACAGGAAACAGCACGTGAAGCTGGGAAAAATGTCTCTCAGACCATCAGCACTGGATCCCCCCAGGGCTGCATTCTTTCTCCTCTGCTCTTCTCCCTGTACACCAACAGCTGCACCTCCAGTTGCCAGTCTGTCAGACTCCTAAAGTTCACAGATGACACCTCCCTCATTGAGCTCATCTCTGGTGGAGATGAGTCCACCTACAGATGGGAGACTGACCATCTGGTGACCTGGTGCAGCCAGAACAACCTGGAGCTAAACAGTCTGAAAACAGTGGAGATGGTTGTGGACCACCCGCCCCCATCATCCTGTGTGACTCCCCAGCTGACTCTGTGGAGTCCTTCCGCTTCCTGGGTACCATCATCACCCAGGACCTCAACATCAGCTCCCTCACCAAGAAAGTCCAGCAGAGGATGTACTTCCTGCGCCAGCTGAGGAAGTTCAGCCTGCCAAAGTCAATGATGGTGCACTTCTACACCGTCCATCCTCCCCTGATCTATCACCATCTGGTACGCTGCAGCCGCTGCCATGGACAAGGGCAGACTGCAGCGTATCATTCGATCTGCTGAGAAGGTGATTGGCTGCAATCTGCCATGCCCCCAGGACCCTGAGGCGTGCAGGCAATATTGTGGCTGACCCCTACCATCCTGGTCACAAACTCTTTGAAACTCTTCCCTCTGGCAGGAGGCTGCGGTCCATCAGGACCAAAACCTCACGCCACAAAAACAGTTTCTTTCTGTCTGCAGCTGGCCTCATTAACAAGGCCCGGATCCCCCAATGATACTGACTCTTAAACCCACCCTGGGGCACCTGGTTAGCTCAGTTGGTAGAGCTGGCGACCCATATACACAGCAGCCCGGTTTTGAATCTGACCTGTGGCCCTTTGCTGCATGTCATCTCTTCTCTCTGCCCCCCTTTCCTGTCTCTCTTTAGCCATCTCTGTCAATAAAGGCATAAAAGGCAAAAAACAAACAAACTTTATACCCACCCTGTATATATGCAACATAAATGCACTCTTTCTTATCTTTATTTATTTATATTTTAAAAGTACTCTATCTTTTGTGTGATTGTTGTGTGATTTGTATATTTTTGTGTGATTGTATAATTTATGCACCACTGCACCAAGACGAATTCCTCGTATGTGTAAAAATCTTCCTGGCAATAAATCTGATTCTGATTCTGATTCTCTTCAAATAAGGAAGATAATCAAATTCATCTGCTGGGATATTATGCATTTTTTGTATGACTGTAGCTTAGGGGGTAGAGCGGGTTGTCCACTAATCAGAATGTTGGTGGTTCAAACCCTGGCTCCTTGATCATGAAAAGACATCTCTTCTTTCTCATACAGTAAAGACTGGACGCCTTTGTAGACAGGCTGACAAATCAGCTTTTCACTTTCACTGGGTGAAATATAGCACCTTTATTCATGACTGAAGAAAGCAATGTAGTAAATGACTCACAGTCTGGTTCTGAGCATTCACGGATTAATTAATTTGCATTTAATGGCCAAATGGTTTGAATATAATAATTCTGTCTGTAAGTCAAAAAACAGCATTCCTCTGTATTGTGTTGACTGCTAATGCAGACAACTCTGGGGAAAAGAAGGCTTGTAAGTGACAAGACTCGAGAATTACAGGCTAAATGCTTTAAATTACCCAGAGAGAGTGTTGGTGGCAACATTGAGATGCAGTAAAGCATTCCAGTAATCAAAGAGATGAGAGTGGGCAATGTATGGGACCGTTATTGTAGCAAACTATTTACAAATAGAGAGTTGTTTAACTGTATTTCAATCCATATATATTAATGGGCTGGAAATACAGACAATCCACCGGTTACAACTCAGGCAGGACTCTCAATTGGCTCTTTTTACATGTTACTTTTGCAGTTACATAACTCTCCACTAACATTTTTAAATAATTTGAGACAGGTCCAGTGAAAAGACAGTGCTGTTTGTGTTAAGGTGGTTGCAGTGTTTGGCAGTAAGGCATTACTATTAATAATATTACTAAATGTTACCAAAAAATAAATACTGTATTTTTTATTAATAATAATAATAATAATAATAATAATTATTATCATTATTAATATAATTATTTACAAGATTAGATGATGTGAAACTACATAAAAGTTTTTTTTATTTTTTTATTTTTTATTTTGTCACTTCATGTTATCACTCCTCTTTCCATTCTCTGATTAGTGATAGCATTTATTGTTTAGACTGGATTAGCTTTAAGTGTGAGTATTACACACCACAAATTCCCATTTAAACTGTATCATTTTTAACGTGTGTACTTCTGAGACATGATCATCTTTAGTCTTAAATATAGTGATGAACACTGCTATTTATTCAGACCATAAATTCCAGCCCACGCGTTCTAGTCTCCGTCCAACAGACGGCGGTACTGCCGTTTAAGTTGCTCAGCGACCGCCATTAAAGATACTGAAGAGCACAAGACCAATAAGAACCCTCGTAGTGAGGTCATGTGAGCTGAAAACATGGCCGTTTAGTGACAGGGAACTGCCGAATGACAACAATGCCGTTTATTGTAGTATAACATAACTTTAAAGTCGGGAATTAGTCGAAATTTTATATTCATCTTCACGGTAAAATTTTCCTTTTATATGATTACGCTAATAAGATTATTTCAGGACCTTTACCTTCTTGGCTTTATTGTGAGTGACTGTCATGAATGTAACATCATTTCAGAATAAGCTGTTGCTACAGTCAAATAAAGTTATATGCTGAATATACCTATGCCGAATTTATCGGTGGAGTCACAGAATACATATTCCGTAGTCACTTGTTATAAGATCACTAACCAAAGCAATAATAATCACTACATTTTTAAAGGGGAAATGGTGCAACGTTCTGCTTTCGTGGGTGTGAAGGATGTTATCAGGAGGACCTAACGTTACTTGTGCAGTTTACAGTGACGGTGCATTCCATGACATTCCTCTTTATTTTGATAGACAATGAAGCTGCGGGTCCAGCTGCAGTGTAAGAACCTACATGAATATCTGAGAGAGCTGAGTCCTGAGATTCTGGACAGACTGTATAACCATCCAGCAACATGTCTGGC